TCATCTAAAACGTCTTCTGACTACTTTGAAGAATAAACAAGAACATATATTATTTAAAAAATATAGTAAAAAATGTATAACCATTAGATTGCATTATTTCAGAAATGTGTTTCAAGGAAAACTTTTGACGTAAATTTCCTCCAAAATCTTGCATATCAACAGAGATGTATCATAGTGGGCTACTGCACAAGCTCTCTAGCTTTGAAATCACTGAAATAGCCTTCTCAATTATCAAGTTCTTCCTAACGGTTAGGTCCTTGAAGATAGTTGTTAACAGCCTACACTCCGAGGCCCAATCTATAAACGCAGGCGTCATCCAAGGTTCGCTACTCGGTCCAACACTCTTTCTACTTTTCATTTATTTATTGTTTTACTAATTTTCGCTCATTACAATGCCCAAGAGCCGCTCAAGATACAGGCTTTCTATGTGAAGTTTTATTAGCGTAAGAAAGGGGCAAGATAAAAGGAAGCATATGCAGCTAATTTTAGACTTGAAGGGATCAAGATTTAATTAGTGAATAATATTCCAGAGTTCAGGCGGAGACGTTAGCAGTATAGAGTTGAAGTAGACTTTGGAAGGAACCGAAAACCCAATCCAGGAAACAAGGGACAAACCTCTACTCCTGTTCAAAAGACCGGGGTGGTGTGTGAACCGGACGGTTGACAAACCTATCTACTCCTATTGAGAGAGGAAAAATAGTGACAATTACTGAATAAAATTTCAAATTTCAGAAGTACAGAGTTGAAGGAACTGGAAACCCATTACTAAACAGGAAATAAGGCATGAACCTCTGCTACTCTTCAAAAAATTGGGAAGGGGTATGAACCGGGCGATAGGCACAAAAATGATCTACCGAAGAGTATACTCTGATCATTTGTGAATATCCATGGTGACGATGTTAAGGTTAAACCAAAGAGATATGGGTTCCCCTCCAAAACACAAGATGACTAGTGATTGGCAGTGGGGGTAAAAACTAACTCGTCACATTCAGTACCTCGAATTTGCCACATTCAGTACCTCGAAAACTGGCTGATCACATTCAGTACCTCGGAAATTGGATGATCACATTCAGTACCTCGGAAACTGGCTGGTCAAATTCAGTACCTCAGAAACTGGATAGTTACATTCAATACCTCGGAAACTGACTGCTCACGTTCAGCACCTCGAAAACTGGCTGGTCACATTCCGTACCTCGGAAACTGGCTAGTCAATTTCAGTACCTCGGAAACTGGCTGGTCACATTCAGTACCTAGAAAACTGACAGGTCACATCCAGTACCTCGAAAACTGACAGGTCTCATCCAGTACCTCGGAAACTGGCTGGTCGCATTCAGTACCTCGAAAACTGGCTGGTCACATTCAGTACCTGGGAAACTGGCTGGTCAAATTCAGTACCTCAGAAACTGGCTAGTTGCATTCAATACCTCGGAAACTGACTGCTCACATTCAGCACCTCGAAAAACTGGCTAGTCAAATTCAGCACCTCGAAAACTGGCTAGTCAAATTCAGTACCTCGGAAATTGGATGATCACATTCAGTACCTCGAACTTGCTACATTCAGTACCTCGGAAACTGGCTGGTCGTATCCAGTACCTTGAAAACTGCCTGGTCGCATTCTGCACCTCGGAAACTGTCTGGTCAAATTCAATACCTTTCAGAGTGGCCCGAAAGTCTTATCACCCCTACATTATATAATTTCCTATTTCAGATTGCTGACACTAAAATGATGGTGTCCATACAGACCTTCTTGATGTGTGACAGCGTCAATGAAAGTGAAGAAACTGAATCCAGTACATGTGCTTTGTATTAACTGCATTACTTGTTGTTCTATTATTCTCATTACGTTTTCGAAGGGGGTGACAAAACTTTCGCCTTGAATTTTAGTTTACAATTTTAATTTGTATCGTTTTCAATTTACCTCACACTTGAGTCTGTAAATTTCTATATTATTGAATGATGCTTTTAATCATTCTGTTCAAAATGTGCCACTGAGGTCTCCTCCTGGGTGAAAGCCAGCATCGGAGCTTTTGTACCAGCATGGAATTACCAAGTGAGACCACGTCATCTCCTTGGGTCTCACTTACCTGCTCAGCCGCTATAGGCCACAGGAATCATTTGTTTCTGTTGTACTAGAGCGACAGACGTCTCTTTGTCGTTCGTAATGAGTTCAAGTGTGTCCTCAAAGAAGTGATTCACTGTTCGTAATGAATGCAAGTGTGTCCTCAAAGAAGCGAATCACTGTTTGCTGATAGCATGAAACAATGCAGAGCTTCTCTCAAGTTTCGTTGTAGAGAATACTGGCGGCTCTGCAAGAGTGTACTAAACAATAGCAAATCCTTAGTCCCTTCTCTCTTCAATAAATATGAAGTACTGACAGCTACTGTAGATAAGTTAGAGTGCTTTGCTCGGATGTACTCTTCCAACACCATTCTCGACTCATCTGGAGTGCCCCTGTCAGATCCCCCCTCTAGCATGCTGGCTCTACTGAGTGATATAACCCCGTCACTGATTTCAGACATCATTTCGAAATTAAACCCCCACAAGTTAAGCGTATGTAATGAAATCCTTGCCGTCGTCCTAAAGAAACGTGCTCCCGAGCGGGCTCCTATTTCACTGCAAAATTTACAACAATTGTCTTGTTCACTATTTACATTATTCGAACTATTGTCCTCATCTTTGCTGCCATATTTATCACAACGCTTCGGCCGTTGTACGCTCCGGCCTTCTTCAGGTGGTTGGAATGTCGAACTGGACCCTTTATTTCGCTCTCTAGGATAGACTGTTCTAGTTCCAGGTGCCATGTCTAATGGATGTCAGTTATCAGTTATCTCCTGTTAATTCATAGTGTACATAATACCTCATCTCAGAAATATTGACAAATTGTCTTGTTTGTTGGAATTTTTGGGTACCCTGGTGTACTAGTGAGCCAGTCAAAATGAGCTGACTTATTTTATAGTTCATCAATAGAAGGGTTAACCAATCAGAAGGCTCAAAATATTCAATGCGACGTGTATAAAGGCGGCCATGTTCCCCCCCCCAAATATGCACTGCCAGCCTTTGATATCGAAGACTGAAGAATTACGGAACAGCTGCTGCTGGTGGTATTGGCGATATAGTCAGATTCAGTAGAGTGTCTGACTCGTGAGTATTAATCTTTAACGTTGTTTCATTGAACAGATTACGTACTGCGCTGTATTCTATATTCATAGACTATGGTGAACATGATCAACATTGTTGTTTTCCACTTTTTTGGAAGTCCTCGTCTGTAGTTCCTGTTTTTAAGAACTCTGGGGAACCTTTTGACCCTTCAAACTATTACCCTATTAGACTCATACCGCTTTTCGGCAATGTACTCAATGCACTAATCAATGCTGAACTGGTTAAACATCTTACTTTGCACGACCTCCTTTCGAACAAATATTACGGCTTCCGTTTCGCCAGGTTTACCGCCGATGTGTTAACAGCTATCACTGAATCAGCGCTATCAGCGCTGGTCCGAAGATAATTGTTTATTTAAACTTTAACAACAGTACTCTGGGTACAAGTTTATATACAAAGCTAATGACAATCATTAAATCTATGAAAAATAAACACTAAATAGATAAAATATAGATGAACACTTTAATTAAACCGTTCCTGTAAGTAGGAGGGTTGATGGCGTAAGTGGAAGGAGAAGGAAAGAGATTTTGTTGTTTGGAAAAGGGAAGGAAAAACATGATTCTCTCTTTATTTATAAGAATAGTATAGATGGTTGATTTTGCCATATGAAATTGAGTAAAAAGAGTCAATATCATCAGCAATTGTTTATCTCTTAACTTTTTGTTGAAACTTGACTAATGCATGGAATAATAATGCAACACAAAATGTACTTAGAACAAAATGTATTGAAACAAAAAAGTGTACACAATATTTACATATAGTCTTTTGTATATTCCTGGTAAGACCGTTCTGGAGAATGTGTTGACTTAGTCGCAGTCGGGCAGAGTCTCTGGTTGAATCTCTTGATTCCTCCCTCTCTTCCCGGTACCAACCATATTTATATGGTCGGTACTCCACTATGCAAATTAGGTGGATCCTACCACAACACTTTTCTTTTTCCTTTACCAGTATCACTGCTAGCTTTCTTTGTAGCCATGACTGAGGACTAATGAAGAGAGAAAAAAAGGCACAGTACAATAAAATTGGAAAAGAAAAGCACAGTACAACACACGAATGTCTACAACATGGCGGTCGAATTAGAAATGATTCCGTTCGGGTTGACTGGGGTTCGGCTATGTTGTTCGAGAACCGAAATTTTGTTCGGTAATCGAGGCATTTTCATCTCGAATATTCTGTTCGTAAACCGATTTGTTCAACATGTGAGACGTTCGAGAACCGAAGTTACTCTGTATTTGAAAACCTGAAGTATTCAGACACTGAACAATTTATATTGGAATATCTACCGGAAATAATGAAAATGATTCGAAATAAAGAAAGTCTAATTAAAAAAAAAAAAGAAACGACTTACAAAGAACTCTATAAGCAAGCACCTCGACATGCGATAATGTTTAACGAGCTAGACTAGTTGGTCATTACTAATGAGTTCGATCCTCACTAGTGTGTCCAATAGTTACTATTTTGTGTCAATAAGGGAAAACAAAAAGTTAGAAGGATACGAAAGCAACAGAGTGATAAAGTTGGGAAAGATTCCAGGGAAAATAGAGGAAAGCTAATTGGCTTAGTTAGAAAATAAGAGAGAGTTGAGAAATAAATAGAGATAGAGAGAGAGAGAATTAGAGAGGGACAAATGGGAGAGATCTGAACAGACATAGAGAGAGAAAGAGAGGGAGAAAAGGTGAAAGAAGTGAGCAGAAGTAGATAGAGAGAAAGAGAGAAAGAAAGAAAAAGGGTTTGGACAGGTAGAGAGAAAGAGCGAATGTGAGTATGAGAGAGATTTGAGCAGTCAAGAATAGAGAGATAAATAGAGATAGAAAGAAGTAGTGATCTGAATAGACACAGACTAAAGAGAAAGAGAGAAAGTCTGGATATAGAGAGAAGGGAAGAAAGGGTGGGAGGAGAAAGAGAGAAAAAAATTATGGAAAAAACTAAATAGACTTGGAAGCAAATTGGGAAATGTAGATAGATAGATAGATAGATAGATAGATAGATATGAACAGACTGAGATAGATAGATAGATAGATAGATAGATAGATAGATAGATGAATGAATGATAGATAGATAATGGGCAGATTGAGATAGATAGATAGATTGAGATAGATAGATAGATAGATAATGGGCAGATTGAGATAATAGATAGATAGATAGATAGATAGATAATAAACAGACTGAGATAGATAGATAGATAGATAGATAGATAGATAGATAGATAGATAGATAGATAGATAGATAGATAGATATGGAAACATACCTATCTGCATACAGGCGTACAATGTAAAATGGATTGACGAAAGACATGATGCTGTTCCTTTGATTAAATCAATTAATTCCTCAATACAAAGCAGCAACAAACAATTTTTCACTCTGTTACTGTAAATATCGGTTTATTGAGAAGATCCTTTATTTATTGTGAACAGGTCGGGACGAAAGTGTGGAAAGAAAAAAAAATTGAATATTCTTCCAAGATAAAAGGACGAGTGTCACCCGGCATTTAGAACGATTTTACGTCAAAGCCGTGAACAAATGGTTTCCCTTTACGGTGACAAAAGACGTCAACGCCTCCCGCTACAGCCACGTGAGTTACTTTAAATTAATGTCTGTAGAGTAATGGTGACTGCCCTCTTTTCTTGCTGGTAAGGCGGTTAGAGTGGAAAGATAAAATTGTAACCTGGCTACAGAAGGTTCTGTTTTTTGTTGTTGTTTTTAATGCAAAATCTGGTAGGAAGCCTTCGAATGTCGACCTGTCTATTGTGTCCCTCTCATCCAATCTCCACGTACATCGCGGGATTTCTCCCCACCCATTCACCCCACCCTCTCTTTAATCTATCGTACTTCTAGAGTTGATCAAGGGTTTGACTTGGTCACGTGTCAGTCACAAGCGCTACCCACTGGCCACATTTACTCCCCACTGCGCTTCAAACCCTAATTTACGAAAACTGACGACAACAACGACGTCACGCCTCGTATGGTAGGCTAAAATTGTCTCTGAAACAACTAATTTTTTTTACCCAGTTTCATAAAGCGGAAAAGCAGTAAGTAAACTTTGCAAACTTCACCTTTCGCATATCAAGCGGGAAATACATTTGAAATGGAAATAAATGCAACGAAATATCTATATTAAAAATAAAGTCATAATTTACCCAAGCAAACATACTTTTAAAAAATCCACAATATTTAAAATCCTTGATGTTAAATTTGCAGATTAAGCCCCGGAAAGCAATTATAATGGAAATTTCTATTCTGGTGTAAATCTGCTTGCTTATTTCGAAAATAACAATAAAAGTTTGCGGAAGAAAACCGCTTAGAAGTTATCGACAAAATAAGTTCGGCCACATCCGCGTCACGGTTACAGCCCGGCCGCCATTACTGGTTTTGTTTACATACGTTTTCCTCAAGTAGTAACGCGCGGAAGCTTCACTTGACTTGATTACTTCGCAATACGCGAACTTTAAATTAAATTTCGCAAATTACGCAGTAATCAAGACGAGTAAGAAGATCAGTAAAAAGGCCGTTAACTAAATAAGCTTCCGCGCATTACTACTCGAGGCAAACGTATGTAAACAACGCCAGTAATGGCGGCTGGGCTAGACTCGAATAAACCCGAAATTATATTGTCGATAACTCCTAATAAACGATTTTCTTCCGCAAACATTTATTGTTATTTTGGAATTAATCAGGAAATTTCATACCAGAATAACAAATTTCCGGGGCTTAATCTACAAATTTACCTCTTTGATACATTTTGTGAAATTATCTGATTTCCTTTAAAATCTAATACTTTAATGCTGGTAAAACAAAAAGAAAGAAATGGCATGCTATTTTAGTGATCGTTAATAAAAAACAAATTATATTTAAAAAATTTTAAAATGTTTTAATGCGAGCTTCATTTTTTATTTTCATGTTTTCTGTTTACGTAATCCTTTATAATAAATAAAAAAAACAAAAAAACTTTAATTCCCACTAATGATGACACGCATAGTAAATAATAGAAGTGTATAAAGAAGAGTCATTGGATATTATTTTATAATATTATTATATTATTTGCCTTTATATATGCATAGAAAATGAAATAGAAAAAACAGTTCAAATTAAAATTCACCGCAAATTCTTTTTCTTCTTCTTCTTCTTCTTCTTCTTCTTATTATTATTATTATTATTATTATTAAACAAACAAAATGAGTGAGGCAATTCTTCCAATATCTTGAAACACATAGAGAAGAGTGCGATTTAAGAAAAGACAGTGTTTACCAATATTTCGACAGTATGTCTGTCTTCTTCGGGTTATGTTTAAAAATTGAATACAAATATAAAATATAATTAAAAAAAACAGTTCAGTATAAATCGTTTGGAACTCTCCTGTAAATTTTGTTTCTTCCTCCATTATTAATTTGCATATGTAATTATGTTCATACATTTTAATTTAAGAATTGAAAGGTCATTGGATTCTGGATATTTTTTTTCAGAATGTCTACTATAAGATATTTGTCGAAATTAAACGCATTCGTGATAATTTCACTGGAAATTTTTTTAATAATAATAGTAATAATAATAATAATAATTGCATCATCCAAAGGTTTATGTGGAGCGTTTGTATGTGTCCAGATCTGAAAGAGACAGAGGATTAATTCTACTAGAAATGTCTTACAAAACCACAACAATTGGTTCTCAAAGACGCCTGGAAACAACAGAAGACTGGATGATGATCTGTCTCAAAGAGCATGAAATAAATAAGAAACTTTATTCAGTAACAGTAGAAGCCAACAAATTCAAAAGGGAATTTCAAGTTTGCGAAGATGTTCAAATATACCGAGAATGAACCTAAAAACGAAAGCAAACTTAAAGCAAGTAATATTTGTTTCAAGTCAGATTAATTAAACTTTAAATCAAATAATATTCCTCAAATTAAGTTTCAGAAAACGCGTATTTTATTTTTGAACGATTTTTTTTTAAAGAGAATTACAATGCGATGATGGAAGGATAAAAATTGGCGAAAAATCTGCGATGTTATTGATTTCAAAACGAGAATTCCTTCCAGACAAATTAGTTTTAAAATACAGCAAAGTATTTGCTTACTGGAAATATTAAATTTAATCTACTAGCTGGAAATTAAAACTAAAATAAAACTTTGAAGAAGGATTCTTCAATTTTAAAATTAATTTTAAACCTTAGTTATCGTGAATATATATATATATATATATATATATATATATATATATATATATATATATATATATATATATATATATATATTAGTAGTAGTAGTAGTACTAGTAGTAGTACTCAAACGTTATTTTGTTAATCACCCCGTTACACTGTTTTAAAAAAATGTCGGGTTGTCGATTCCAAACACGAAAAATAATGTCTGAAGAAACAAAAATGGCGCATTAGAATAAACTCATTAATTCTTTTATATATATATACATATATATTAGTTTATTGTTTAAACTTTTTAATGCGTACCCATATTTGAGTAAATGCTGTTTTTATCTATTTATTTATTAAGCAGTATATTTATTTATATCTACCGGCTTGAATATCAGAGAAATCTTTCTAGAAAAATATGCGCCCTCCGGCAGGATTCGAAACTGTGTTCCCTGGGAAACCGTCATTAAATCTGATCTGCCTTGACCTCTCGGCATCGAAGAAGCTCTTGATGGCATTAATAAATAAAAAAATATTCATATATGTATATCTATATATCTATATCTATATATATGTGTGTGTGTGTGTGTATTGATGTAATAGGAAACAACAGTTAGATTAATGATCCAAAGTGCTTTAATATTTATATTTTTATTTTTTAAAAACAATGCTCGAAAGGATGAACGAACCAAAAAAAAAACAAAAAAACAAATAAACAAGTCTGTAACTAGAACATCAATCATTAAGTTTTAATATATAGTAATAAAAACAACAGGACCTGCGAATAGGCTATAGTAGCCAGAAAAAAATCACCAAACCAACCTTACACGACTCCAAAAATTTGACATATAATAAACATTTATACTTTCATCATCGTATAGATCCCATGATAACGAATAGAAAAAAAAAACAGATTACACCTTCATTTCCAACCTATAAATGAGTAAAGTATTTCTTCTGTTAGTTGTTCTAAACATCACTTCAGAATGAATCTTTACTCCAAGTTTTAAGTTTAATATTGAGATTAAACCTTGGGACTTGAGTTAGTTTGGAAACAGTAATTTCTGTGTCACGATGAAATCATATTTGAAAAAAAATAATCATAATATATATATATATAATTTTAACCTCACTTCTTGATACAATTAGCTCATCGCATATGAAAAAAAATCTCTGGTGACCTTTTAAATAAATTTTTAAAAAAAACAGAATATCAAAGACAAATATATGACTAAACTAGTTTCGCTATTAAATCTTTATATACAAATATTCTCATAAAAGAAATGCATAAATTTGCTAAAAATACACTTAACTAAAATAAAAAATACAATTACCAATTTTGACACATAAAATCATAAAAATGCATCATTGTCATTAATCAATGTTTTTTTTTTAACATTCTATAACAGTTTTTAGATTCAAAAATTTGATTTACCAATGGGATCTCCTCTTAGTGGCGTTTTGGCATGTCTAATTTTTTGTAATTTCTGCAAAGTGGTCGTTTTAAAAATATTTAATCACAAAATTCTTCTTATTTTTTATACATAGATGATTCTCTATGAATATATCCACAAAACATAATTTTACCCGTTTTTGTCTACAAACTTAATGACGTTGAACTCACAATAGGTTTTACCTTTGAATCTGAGTCTATATTCTACGCATTATCAAAAATATATAAACCAGATATCCTGATGAGACCCATTATATCAGAAATAGTTGGCATCCCACATAAACTAACCGGCACACGAGCCAAAATGTTGACCCCACTTTAAGGAGGAATTAGCTCCTTGCATATAAAGAAAACTCTGGTGATCTTTTAAAAACAAATAAAAAACACAGATATCGAAAACTAGATTAGTTTAGATATCAAATCTTTATATACAAATATTTCCGCAAAGAAATCTGATGTAATCGTTCAGGAGGGGGACGATCCCATCGTGCGGCACTTTTGGCACCTCTATAAACATATCCACAAAACATAATCTTACCTGGTTTTCTTAACAAACTTAATAACGTTGAACTCACAATAGATTTTACCTTTGAATCCGTGTCTAACAACACTTCACCCTTCCTAGATATCATTCTACGTAGAACTAATAACGACCTTTAGTTGAAGATTCACAGAAAATCTAACAACAAGAATGACCGTATCA